CGCTGTAACATTCTGAATTTTCGATCCTTTTCCTGGGATTTATGAAATGAATATTTTGGCCAATGCACTTATAGTGAGATCTCACCCGGAACCGCGCATTCATGGGATGCTAACCTTAGGGGTAAGGCCATTGCGGGATTGAGTTCGCACGACCAAAGAACCCGACCTTGGTTTGATCTTCGACCATAAGGATTGACGAGGGAATGTTTTGGACTAACAGAGACCGATCTATTTAATTGATCGTGTCCGCAGGGAACTAGCGACAGACCCTCGCAATTATATGACAATCAAGGTCGCTTTGGTTCGAGCAAACTTAAACGTGATTTGACTTAGTGTCGGTCACTGGGCCAAGAGCGCGGAATCCCAATGAGCCACCCGTTAGTAAGAGATAAGCTAAAGTCGCGATTGTTCGATTCTAGTCATTTCTTAGAATTCGGGCCCGGGAATCGAGAATTTTGAAAGTGACAATTTTTAGCGGCCGATGGCGTTTTTGGTGTGGCAAACCTTGGGGCCACCCGTTTTTGTAAAAAAAATGGATTTCGGTTGGGGACTGGAAAAATTACCATTTTGCACTTGGGACCGCAAATGAATTTTGAGGATTGGATTAAGTTGGGGGACTGAGAATTACCCTGTATGACCGAAATTAGAGGGATAAGAATGCCCTCTCCTCCCATGAGTAATTACTCTTTTGCCCCTTGAATTATTGGATAAGGTTAAACGTGGGCCGTTGGATTTGGATGAGATCAATTCTTGGCCATTGGATCGGAGGGGTAGTTAGAGGGGTATTTTAGTAATTTCCGGTGGGGTTTTAGAGTCAATTATTGGGGGCCCTCTATAAATAATCTTTTCCTCTCTCTCTTTCCAATAATTTTCTCTCTCTCTCTCTCCTCACCCCCACCAATCGGCTCTCTCTCTCTCTCTCCTCTCCCTTGCGCGTGAACCAGCTTGGCCGGCCACCAACTCACCGTCGCCTGGTCGCCGCCCTTCCGCCGATCACCGCCACCGCTTTTTCTTCTTTCCGGCCGCGCCTCACCGCCCACCTGTCTCTCTCTCTCTCTCTCTCTCTCTCTCTCTCTCTCTCTCTATTTCGCCGTCCTATTCAGCCCCGCCACCACTAAGCCACCCCATGCCATCCTCCCCTGCCCTGTATGTCCCCATCGCCGTCCCCAGCCGCCCGATCGCCGCCCGCCAGCCAACCATCCACGGTGGTACCGCCGTTCGTCCGCCTGGCCGCCGGCGCCGCTACTCGGCTGCTGCTGCTGGTTCGGTCATTCCAGCCCCTTGTCCAGCCAGTTTGTCATGCCTTTATAAGGTAAGTGACTCCCCTAAACCCTCCTTAGGACCTCGGGTATTGTAAGACTCATTTAGGACTCGATTTATGTGACTTGTATGGCTGTTTTGGAGCGTAGATTGAGGGTGGATATTAGGTTGTGGTGGACTGATTTGGGGACTGAAAAAGGTGTGGTTTAGTAGGCCCGGATGAGCTGTGGTGAAGTGGATTGATTATTGACTGAATTGTGCGTTGGTTGGTATAGTTGTGCCTAGAATGATCTCGCATATGCGATTGTGTGGCTTGTGTTTGATGGCTGATTTCTGAGTGATTGTCGGACTGATTATGGCATGGTTGCGTGCCGTGCGTGTGTGGCCGTGAGGTGTGGTGGTGTGAATGCACAATGAGCTCGCGTGTCAAACGTGTGGCCGTGTGTATGTGTGGCCGTGTGGTACGTGTGGTACACGTGGTACGAAAGGTATGGGAAGGTTGGATTGGTTGGAAAAAGTGATACCCTGAGGCGTATTCGTTTACGCGGGGTAAGTTCTGTCCTGAGGCGTGTTCGTTTACGCGGGACGATGCCGTCCCTGACGAGGTGACGATGCCCGGCCCGACCGGGTGATGATGCCTGACGAGGTCAGAAGACCGTTGGCATGATGCGTTTTACGCGGGCGCGGTGGTGGTGGAAAAGTTGGGAATGAGTTGGACTTGGCTTGACGTGTGAGAATTGTGAAAGTTGACGCATGGTGTGAGTTAGTGTGCGAGTGTGGTTTGTATCGAGTGATGTGGTGCTCAATTATGGGGTAAGAACTGCTAGGCATGGTATGGGACGTGCCCAAGTGGGTTTTGCCTTATAATCGAGGCACGCACGACTGTGATGCATTGATGTATGTGAATTCTTATTACATGCTTTGGTTTTGTGATATGGATGAGGCATCATTGTGGCATGTTGGCTGTATTATTATCTGACGTGCAGGGATGTGCATGATGGATCCTAGGTAGGATCGTATGTGTTTGTTAGTATGGTTGATCGTTGTGTGTTATGCGTGTTTCGTCTGGCGGTACGTGAGAGCCTATGTGGGGTTTGGGGTTGTGCACTTATTGAGATTCGTCTCATAGTTGTATAACCACAATTTCAGATCCTCAGCCTTAAACCCAGCAGGCCCGCCTCCTCTTTTTGGAGTTTTAGGAGCCGCCTATGGTGCCCCATTGAAGCCGCAGGCCTTGCAACCATCTCAGGCGATTCCTCCGTATTGCGGTCAAGTGATCTTCCGGGGCACGAGCTAGAGGACGCAGAAGCAGAATGGGAGGAGGGCGACCGTTAGGTTTCCCTAGGATATTTTAGGGGTTGCGTAGAATAGGTCGACCTATAGTGAAGCCAAGTTAACCAAACCACCCGATCCTTTTGTTATGTCGGTGGTTATGAATGCTCGTTTGTTAAGTTTGTTTGTAATATGATGTTTGTATGCCCGGTTCGATGGCATTGTATAAAAGCTAATGTTGTTGTTCTTTGACTGTCATGATGATCTACCCCTTCGTCATCTTTTTAGTCAAGGATTTCTATTCTCGTTTCCGCATGTGTCTCTGATGTTTGGGTTGGGTCAGCGATGTTTCTGGGACGTCGCAATGCTTCGACCAAAGAGGGATGTTGCGAGCTCGATGGGGTTCGGGGCGTGACAGCCGCCCCCAGCCGCCCATTCGTCGCCCTTCCACGACGTAGCAGCCGCACGCCCACCTGACCGCCGGCGCCGCTGATTGGCTGCTGCTGCTGGGCTGACTGTTTCGGCCACCTGTCCAGCCGTTTGTCACCCCTTTCTAAGGTAAGTGACTTCCCCAAACTCTCCTTAGGACCTCGGGTATTGCTGGACATATTTAGGACTCGGTTTAGGATGAATTAAGTGACTGATTTGGGACTTAGTTAGGGGCTGACTGATAGTTGTTGTGGACTGATTTGGTGGCTGAATATGTGTGGTTTAGAAGGCTCGGATAGGGCTGTTGTGATGCGTAATGACCTAGACTGAATTGTAAGTTTGATTGGTAATTCTATGTCTTGAATGGGCTCGTGTGAGCGATTGTGTGGCGGATGATTGTTGGCTGATTTCTAAGTGATTGTCGGACTGAATATGTGTGGCCGTGTGCTATGTGTGTGACCGTGAGGTGTGGTGGTGTGACCGTGTAATGAGGCTGCGTGCCAAGTAGGTGTGGCCATATGGCGTGATTATGTGATAGTGATATGTGTTTGTGAAATGTACATGTGGTGCGAGATTGTGTGGCCGTGCGTTATGTGTGGCCGTGTGGTACGTGTGGTACAATGGTACGAGATGATTTGAATGGTTGAAAAAGTGGTACCCTGAGGCGTGTTCGTTTACGCGGGGTAGGTTCCGTCCTGAGGCGTGTTACGCGAGACGATACCGTCCCTGACGAGGTGACGATGCCCGGCCCGACGGGTGAAGATGCCTGACAAGGTCAGAAGACCGTTAGCCTGATGCATTTTACGCGGGCGCGGTAGTGATGGAAAGTTGAGAATGAGCTGGACTCGGTTGATGCACGAGACTTGTGAAAATTGACGCATGGTGTGAGTAGTGTGCGAGTGTGGTTTGCCTCGCGTGACATAGTGTTTGATGAGTAAGGACGTGAATGGATTGGCTGTATTATTATCTGACATGCAGGGATGTGCATGCTGGATCCCAGGTAGGATCGCATGTGATTGTTGGCATGACTGGTTGTGTGTGTTATGCATGTTTTGCCTGGCGGTACGTGAGAGCCTATGTGGGGTTTGGGGTTGTGTACTTATTGAGATTCGTCTCATAGTTGTATAACCACAATTTCAGACCCCCAGCCATGAACCCAAGAGGCCCGTCTCCTCATTTTGCGATCCCCAGTCATGTGGATCATCAGAAGGTAGAGTACCCTTTAGGAGACGACCGAGCTTTCGTAAGGCACTCGAGCGTTGTTTGGGTTGATGAGGGCGAATTACACCTGAAGTCGTATTCGTACGTGGCGTGGACTTATCGAGATGGCGTGGAGGAAACAGGTCCGCTGAGAAGCTTCGACATCCCTTTCTATGGCGTTGGCGAATGGGACCCTTTGGCGATCATTCCTCCCGATGGCGAGATCGTTGATCCCAAGGAGCCATATGAGAAGCCATTCACAGTACCCCCAGTAGAGCCGTTTGCTGTGCAACCATTGCAGGCGATCCCTCCATATCGCGATCCACGTATTCCTTCGGGGTTCGATCCAGAGGACTCAGGAGAAGAATGGGAGGAGGGTGATCCCTAGGTTTCACCAGGGTATTTTAGGGGTTGTATAGACTAGGTCTGACCAGTCACTTTTTGGAAGATGGGTCGACCTATAGTGAAGCTAAGCTAACCCAACCACCCGATCCTTTTTGTTATGTCGGTGGTTTTTGGATGCTCGTTTGCTAAGTTTGTATGTAACGTTGTTTGTATGCTTGGTACGTTGAAAGTGTATATAGGTTAATGTTGTTAGTTCATTGACTGTCTTGATGCTCTACCCCGTCGTCATCTTTTTAGTACGGGCGTTTTGATATTCATTTCCGCACGTGCTTGTGATCGTTTGGGTCGGCGATGTTTTCCTGGGACGTCGTATCAATTCAACTAAGAAGGGATGTCGCGAGCTCGATGGGGTTCGGGGCATGACACTTTATCATTCAGAGGGGTCGTCATACACAACATAACCTCAAGCACATCCGGTTCTATTCCAATCAATCTCACAAACTACTCTGAAATAAACAAGTGGGTAGCCCCCGGATCAAACAAGGCATACGCAGCATGAGCACATAGAGAGACCGTACCTGTGACCACGCTTGGCATGTCTTCAGCCTCCCTTCGCGCCATTGCATACACCCTTCCTTGCGCAGGCGGTCTACCTTGAATAGCCGGCGAGGGATTCCCAGCCTGATTTCTAACCTGGGGCTAATGAACTTTCATCGGCAGTCCTACTGGACGTTGCTGGGGGCAATTCCTTATCTGGTGATCCATACTCCCACATTTGAAACATGCCCTAAACTTGCTCTGCGGGTGGTTTGATTTCCCGATGTTCTTTCTTACGGGAGGGACAAATCGCCTATTTCCCGCCCTCGGCTTCTTCCCGAAGTGGCAGTTGTCCTTAGCCGGGGCAAACTACGATCCAAAAGCGGCGGCCCTATCCACCTGATCCCGCTCAATAGCCTGAGCCCTCTCATATAAGTCCTCATAAGTTCTCAAATTCACCGGTATCAACTAATTGCGAATGTCGGTTCTCAGTCCATCCCGAAACCTTCGCGCCTTATCCTCAGGATGATCTACCATCCTTGGCGCAAACTTAGACAGCCTAGCAAATTCCGCCTCATATTGGTCTACGGTCATCTGTCCTTGACGGAGTCTCATAAATTCTGCTAGTTTCCTTTCCCTAGCGCTCTCAGAGAAGAATTTTCCATAGAAGTTCTCAGAAAACACGGCCCAAGTCTGAGCGACACCATCAGGGAACACTCTTCCCTTGGTGGCCTTCCACCAATCACTAGCATTATCTTGCAACTGATACACCGCTAAGGTCACCTTCTCAGCCTCGGTGCACCCCAGAACTTCGAAGACCTTCTCCAACTCTTCCACCCAACGTGGCGCGGCCTCAGGGTCACCTTTTCCCTCAAACTTTGGCGGCTTTAACTTTAGAAACTGTTCTACCAGTTGGTGCATCAGCCTATTTGCAACCACTAGGGCCTGCCCTTGATTGGCCTGGTTTCCATTCACAACAGCAGTTGCTGTAGCCTCAGCAGCTTGGGCAATATTGGCGGCCCTTTCTTGAGCCTGCCTTCCCATCATATTTCCTATCTCTTGCAACGTCTGAATAACTGCATCCAGGCTTGGGTCTCTTGCTTCTTGGCCCATGGCACTCGACTGACCTCTTGTCCCCATTCCTTTGGTCATCCCTACGGTTTTTCCTCACCATTCAACTACCTACTATAATTCCATTCAGGAATTAGAGACCTAGCCCAAACTATACCAGTCTAGGGTCCTAGGCAAGGAATTACAGCAACAATCACACAGCAGGCAGTCAAACACAAGCAGCAGGAAGTCTCAACCAAGAGATATGCGTATTTACCTTGGGTCCTGTCGTACCTGCACTTTACGGGTCATTCACAACAATCACTCAATCACGCAATTCAAACGGTCTGGAGGTACACGTAGCACACAAGTCTCCCTATTTAGCTACCCAAGGTCATCGCTCCTTATCACTCCAGGCTTCGACCGAGTTAGATCGAGCTGACCTTGCTCTGATACCAAATCAACGGGGGATGTCATGCCCCGAACCCTACGGCACGCGACAACCCTACCGTGGTCGATTTCAGTGCGACGTCCCAGGACGCGTCGCCGACCTGAAACCCAAAATCAGAGAAAGAAACACATGCGGAAGCAACCAACACCGGTACATAAATAAACAACATGACCAAGGATAGCGATAAATACAATAAGTACAACTTGCATTAATACCAGGAGATTTACAATATCCATTGACAGACAATATACACCAACCAAAAAGGGTCAGTAGCCACTAACATCAAAAAGGGTATGTGGCTCGGGCGGTCAGACACTAACTCTAAAAAGGGCTCTATCAAAAGGTGTCGGCTCTACCTAACCATGGTCAAGGACAAACCCTAGGGTAACCAGTCCGGGTCGGATCCTGAGGACTCCGACAAATCATCAGACGACTCGAACTCGAAATCCATCGAATCCGGCTCGGACTCGGCGTCCACTAACTCCACCCCGGAATCATCCTCCGGCTTTGGCTCCTGCTCCATGGGCTCCGGCTCCGACTCGAGATCGGACTCCCATTCCAACGGCTCCTCTTCCTCGGATTCGGTATCCATCCCGATGATGACTAGCTGGGGATCGGAATCCTCCTCAGACGTGGCAGCGGGGCTCATGATCTCCCCATCAGCGGCCTGCGGATCCGACTGGCCTAACGCGTCAAACGGGACATCGAAGGTCCTAAAAGGTCCGTGGGTGCCGAACTGGTCCCGGAAACACCAAGCGAGATAAGGATGGGCCTGGAGCTTTGGCCCGCCCTCATCGACCCAAATAATATTATAATACCTAACATAAGTCTCCCCGTTTCCTACGGGGTACTCGGCCACTGATCGCTCTATGCGATACAGGATCCCAAAACAAAGCGGTGCTTCTGCCATCTCAAGGTCGAGGGTCTGAAAAGTGGGGGTTTAAACAACAATGAGAATAAATCTTAGCGAGTAGGCCCCCCAAACCTAAACTAGGCTAACATGCACCTCCGGACAAGTATTAACCAAACACACATTCGAGCAATCACACGACTTAGGCCCTCGGGCCCAAATGAAACATATGTTGACCCTGCAGGTTAGGCACATAATAATAATAATAGCACTGAGCCCAACAATGGTACATACGCACATATCAATTGGCCACGAACACATGCCGTGCACATGCTTGCACTCATTAATGCACTCTTGTACATGTGCCATCACTATGCATATGCTCATGTTCATTTCGGCACACTTGCACACGTGCCAACTTTCCATCTATCACCGACCGGCGTAAAACGCATCAGGTCTATCACTTTTCGATCGATCTCCAGCCCGCGTAAAATGCATCAGGCTCATGACACAACCCGCGTAAAACGCATCAGGTTGGCCATCTTCCGGTAGTCCGGGCATCGTCCCACGTAAAACGCATCAGGACGGGTTCAACACCCCGCGTAACACGCATCAGGGTTTTATGTGATCACACGTATACATACCACCAATTATTATCTGAACCCCGCGTAAAATGCATCAGAGCAATTTAGGTGATCACATGCTCATGCCAATCGTGCACACTCACATGATGCACATGTTATGCCAATGCTCGATATACACAATTCATGGCCATAACAATCAACACTCAGACATCCATAATTTCCACATTTGAGCATTCAATTTAACTTGGCCACATGCTCAATTCATATTTTTACATGCCCAATGAACCAATGAATCTAAATCAGCCACATCATATAATTGGCACCCGAATTCATGCGATTAAATCGATATAATCACGCACACTCAAGGCCCGCCATACCTCTCAATTCGTAGCCACATCAAACATTCAACATGGCATCATACAATCAATCCCGAACCATGCACCATTCGGCCAATACATGGACAACCCAAGGCACACACGGTAATTCACAATTAAGCCATAGATTAGCCGAACAAGGTCCAATTAAATCCACAATGGCCAACCAATAATCAGTCCACTTTAGGCCACTAATCCACCTCCAAATCATCACATTAGGCTCCCAAAATTCACCACATAATCAGCCACTACACGGCCCACACAATGCACCCATATTAATCCACATATTAGCCCAAATCAAGTCCACAATGATCAGCCACTAATCCGCCCATTCTAGACCACCAAATCACATTTAAAATATCACATTAAGCTACCAAAATAGCCACAATGTCAACCCCTAAAATACCCTAATCAACCCCTAAACCTATCTAGAAATGCATAATGGCCTAATTAGGGTTTAGGGTTTGTACTCACTAGGTCTTAAGCTTGCAAATGTGGGCTGAGCAAGAGGGAGAACGGGCTGGCTCACACCGGTTCAGCGGCGGCAGCAATGGGTGGTGGTGCTCCAGCGGGCGGGCCTTCACGCGGCCAAGGGTGGCGGATGGGCTGGTGGTGCCAACGAAGATGAGGAAGAGAGAGAAAAATGGAGTGGTCGGATGGCGGTGGTGGTGCGAAGTGGTTGCTGGATGGCGGCGGCGTGAGGCGTTCTGGTGGGCGGCAATGGCGGCTTGCTGCTCCGGTGTCCTCACGCGGCCAAGGGAGAGGAGAAAGGGAGAGAGTGAGGCGAGAAAGAGAGGGGAGAGAGAGTGGCCGGTGGTGAGAATGAGAGGAGAGAGAGATTAAAGGAGAGTTTTTGAGAATTGGTGAGTGGGGTGGTTGATCAAACCTACTAAAAATTCCCATCCTACCCACTCCACTAAAAACATGATCCAATGGCCAATATTTGAAGTTTAATCTAATCAATCCACTTTCAATGGCCAAGATTCAATCTCACACAAAAATATCTAAGGGCATTTTAGGGATTAGCAAAGGAGATGGGGGGCCGATTTGTCCATGATTTTCGGCACCAATGGGCTGAATAAAACCAATTAAAATCTCCAAAATTCGGAATTAACACATAAAGCTTAGGGGCAAATCGGTAATTTTCCACTTCCGGTCCGAAATTTCTTTTTTCGACCAAACCGATCCCAAATATGATTGGCCACACTTATACGACATTGTCCTTGCAAAATAGTCGCATACGTCCGTGAAATTCGACACTCAAGTCCGGATTCAATTCCACGATCAATTTCGCTCAAATTGCGATTTTAGCGTCTCTCACTAACGGGCGGCTGTTTAGGGGTTACGCGTATCGGCTTAGGATTACTCGAGTCATGACGGTCTCGATTTCTAAGAGAACGCGAGGATTTATCGCTAGTTCGGGAGGTCGCGATCTTCCGGAACAAGTTCAGGATTATTCGCCACGCGTACTCTCGGTCGTGCAGAATCACCCCCGATCCGATCGCACATCATTGGCCAAACCAAATCCGTCACCCTCCTTAGATCGGCCCACATTGGCCCAAAATATTCCCTCATCGTTCCTCGGAATTGGAGCTCGATTCACGGTCGAGTTCTTGGGTCCACGTACTATTTTCCTAGTTAGCCATTCCTTATTGGTCAGTATCCCGAGAATGATCAGTTTCGGGCGAGACTTACTAAAATGAAATGAGAAATAACAGCTATTTCACTGATCACGAAAGTAGGTCGAATTCAGGATGTTACAAGATCTACTCAGATTCCTTCCCCGGAGATTACGTGTCCAAGAAACGCCACTCGGTTAAGCCAAAACTCGCACTTGCTAAACTTAGCATACAGTACATGCTCTCTTAACGTTTGTAGGACCTTTTCCAAGTGTACCTCATGTTCCTCGGGACTCTTTGAATACACCAAAATATCATCTATGAAGACAATGATGAACTGATCCAAAAACTCCTTGAATATCCGATTCATTAAGTCCATGAAGGCAGCAAGTGCATTAGTCAAACCAAAAGGCATCACTGTGAACTCATAATGCCCATATCTCGTCCTAAAGGCCGTCTTCGGTGTGTCCTCTTTCCTGATCCTCAATTGATGATACCCCGTCTGTAGATCGATCTTAGAAAACATTGAGGTTCCTTGTAACTGATCAAACAGGTCGTCTATTCTCGGCAGTGGATACTTATTCTTAACGGTCACCTGATTCAACTGCCGGTAGTCTATACACAACCTCAATGTTTCATCCTTCTTCCTTACAAACAGCACTGGCGCTCCCCACGGAGACGCACTTGGGCGGATGAATCCCTTGTCCAACAATTCTTGCATCTGAACCTTTAACTCCTTTAGTTCTGACAGGGACATCCGGTACGGTGCCTTCGAGATCGGCTCAGTTCCTGGGGCCAACTCGATTACGAATTCCACTTCTCTTTCTGGTGGCAAACCCGGCAATTCCTGAGGAAAGACTTCGGGAAAATTGCACACCACTGGGATATCCTCTAATCTTGGCTCCGCAACCGTCAGATCCACGACCTTTACCAAATACCCTTCACAACCCTCATCCAACAACTTGGTCACTTCAAGCGAAGAAATCCAAGGGATCGAGGTTCCTCCTCGGTTTCCCTGAAACTCAAATCTAGGATGTCCAATCGGGTTAAATTGGATCACCCTACTACTGTAGTCCATTACGGCTTTTTGCTTAACTAACCAATTCATTCCAATAATCACATCAAAGTCGAACATGGCCAAAACTGCCAAATCTGTTCTTTTTTCTCTACCCCCGATAACTATTTTACAGTCAGGACACCCTAGCGAGACTAACACTTTATCAT